AAGATTGACTTGCCGAAATGTCATCAACATGACCTGCCCCAAAATGTCACCAAACTCACCCTTTGCCAAGATAAAGCTGAGTTTATGTTTATGGCTGTAAGAGGCAGCACTGGCCCCACAGTGTTAGTGGAGACTTGGGAGGGATGGCAACATTGGGATATTTATGTGGTTTTGGGGTCTGGTTTAAGGTGTGTTTTGATGCAGGGGAGCTGAATGCAGAGGGGGCCTTGGGTTTTGGATTGAGTAGGAATCATGATATTATGGTTTAGGTTTGATGGAAACAGGGTGCTATGGCCTGAATTGTACCCCCCAAAATTCCCATGTTGAAGTCCTAACTGCCAGGACTGTGGCTGTATTTGGAGATACGGTCTTTAAAGAGGTGATTTAGGTAAAATGAGGCTGTTGGGATGGGCCCTGATCCAACAGGACTGGTGTCCTTATAAGAAGAGGAGATGAGGACACAGACACACACAGAGGGATGACCCTGTGAGGACATGGGGAGAAGACGGCCGTCTACATGTCCAGGGGAGAGGCCGCAGGAGGAACCAGCCCTGCCCACACCCGGATCTTGGATTCCAGCCTCCAACTGGGACAATGCATGTCTATTTTTTAAGCCACCCCAACTGTGGTACTTTGTTACAGCCACCCTGGCAAACTAATACTATAGGAATTTCAGGAATTTCCTAGAATGAACAGTACAGTTATCTGCAACTTCCATCTTCCTGACCAGGAACTGTGCATTTCTGCTGAAGACGACAGTGGAAAAAGTGAAATCATGTCATTGTGGGCTGTGAGCTGTGCACAAGGTACCAGTTCTCATAGGAAATGCTGCTGTAGTTCCATCTAAAACAGAGCACATTCAAATAAAAGTTGGAGCCTGGGGGATACTGAAGACTCGAAAGAAAACCTAGGAGAAGGAAGATGTAGAGAACACTTGTCATTTCTGATAAACAACACCTCTAGTCCCGGGGCAGCCTGCCCCAGTGGGATCAGCGGATGCAGGGACTCAGCACAGAACCCGCACCCCACTACAGGCTCACTGGGTGAAAGATCCTGAATCTGGGACCTGAGCTTCCTATCTTGCTTCTCAGCCTCTCAGAAACCCTGATCTGCCTGGACTAGGGAGGTGCTTCTGACTGTGTGACCTGCAAAGCTGATTCAGGAAGCGGGCAGTGGAGAAACACATCTGAAGTCACCTTGCATCTCCCATCACCTGTAGGTCTCCTAAAATAGATTCAATTTGAACCAACTGATGCATGCAAGAAAATTCAGTTAGGAAATCCTGAGGCGGAATGTACTGTGACCTGGAGACTTCCCACACAAATCCATACATTGCGCGAGAAAGAAAAGATAATTGTTTTGGGTGAGGACTCTGGAGCTCCCAGTTTTAGAAGAAATACACAAGTGGTTAACGTTTTCAAATCACCAAACATATCACAGACATTCATGGGGTGGCTCTGTCACTGCCAAGTCTGGCGTGAGATCCAGGACTGCACCAAATGCCAAGTTCCCTGTTCAATTCTTTGTGACTTAGATGGCAAATGACTATTTATATAAACACTGACTTCCACTGTAGTAGTGAAGTAAAGGTGATTTTAAAACGTCTACAAAAGGGGTCTAGTGGGCATTGGTTGGTTTTAATAAGACAGAACAGGCAGCTCCAGCAAAGCAGACGTGAGGGGTAATGGACAAAATCGACTTAAATATTAACAAAGGTTAATAAAAGATGCAGCTGCTTGGTACAGAGATGTGATGGGATACGTGACGGGGTCTCAGCGTCCAGAAACCAGCCCCCTTGTGCCCATGAGGACAGAATGGGCCAAGCAGGCAGGTAAGTTGGGACTACTTACGAATGGCAAATGGAAAATACCTCCTTGATAAAGAGAACACAGGAGGGTGATGTTAGCCTTTGCTTTTTGAGCTTCTCATTCAAGAACCTGCATTTTCTTTTTTAAATTAGAAATCAACACAGGATACCCCATGTTATTGTTTGTTTTGTTTTGACTTGAAGGATATTAAAAAAACAAAACAAAGATCCTCCTCTCTGATCATAAAACGCAGACTGAATCGCAGCCCTGACGTGCAGTTCTCAGAGGTTTCCTCCGCCAGTCGGTGGGAGCCTGATGATGCCCCGGGCCTGAGGCTGACGTTGCAAGAATAAATGACGAAGAACTTTTAAAGTGGTGGTCTCTCTGGGGATAAAAGTTTTAAACTGAATTGTTTAAGCTGTAATGAAATTTTGGATTCCAAGACAGTAGGAATCAAAGAATTTTCAGTCACTCATGAAATCACTCTTCCAACATAAGCTTTCAACTCTCCACCTGGTGTGAGGGGATTTGACGCAAGGACTGCTGAGCCTCGGCCACAGGAGTTAGCTCACTTACTGTACATATGGAATTCATGCTTTTCCAGAGGCCTAATCTCAGATACTTCATTAATACAAAATAAGGCTTTCTCCATGAGTGTTCTGGATTATTGGATTTAATCTTCTATTAAATGTGTGAATTTCATCTAAAGAATAAGCTTCAAGAACAGATTGTGTATGTTAAATGAAATGAAATGTTAAATGAAACAAGCACATTCAAATTGTGAAATCAATATGACAAATCAACTATTAAAAATAAAATGTATCACTGTAGTAACGACAATGTAGACTCAGCAGATGCAATTTAAAAACTCTTCAGTGTTTGAAGACAAAATTAAACATGCTCACTGAACCAAGAAAAAGTTCTTGAAATTTGAACAAGTTTCTATTTATTTATTTACTTGAGACCAGATAAATTTTTTTTTCAGTTTTATTGTGGTATAGTTGAGAAATAGGAATTGTATGTATTTAAGGTTTACAGCTTATGTTTTGATACATGTATACTTTGTGAAATGATTGCCACAATCAAGCTAATTAACAAAACCATCACCTCACAGTTACCATGTTCTTTCATATTTTTGTGGTGAGAACACTGAAGATCTACCCAAGTGCACAATACAATGGTGTTTATGGTCACCATGCTATACGTTAGATCTCCAGAATTTATTCATCCTGCAAAACTGAAACTTTGTACCCTTTGTCTAATATGTCCCCATTTCCCCCTCTTCCCCACCCTTAGTGACCATCATTCTATTCTCTGCATCTATGAACCTATTTTAGATTCCACATATAAGTGAGATGATGCAACATTTGTCTTTCTGTGTCTGACTTATTTCACTTAAGGTAATGTCCTTCAGGTTCATTTGAGTTGTTACAAATGGCAGGATTGTCTTCTTTTTTAAAAGATGAATAATATTCCATTGTATATTTATCACATTTTCTTTATCCAATCATCTGTTAAACACTTAAGGTTGTTTCCATGTCTTGGCTATTGTGACAATCCTGCAGTGAACGTGGGAATGCAGGTTCTCCTAGAGATACTGATGTTGTTTCCTTTGGATAAATACCCAGAAGTGAGACTGCTGGATCTTATGGTAGCTCTTTTTAAAAATTTTTGAGGCACCTCCATACTGTTTTCCATGATGGCTGCACCAATATACATTCCCACTAACACTGCACAAGAGTTCCCTTTTCTCCACGTTCTCGCCAACACTTATCTCTTGTCTTTTTGAAAATAGTCATTCTGACAGGTGTGAGGTGATATCTCTTTGTGGTTTTGATTTGCATTTCCTTGATGATTAGTGATGTTGGGCATCACAATCATACAGATTGGCCATCTGTATGTCTTCTTTGAAAAAATATCCATTGAAACCCTTTGCCCATTTTTTAATGAGGGTTTTTTTTTTTTTTTTTTTGTCTAATGAGTAGTAGGAGCTCCATATATACTTTGGATATTAATCCCTTATCAGATATGTCATTTGCAAATATTTTCATCTATTCTGCAGGTTGCCTTTTCACTCTGTTGATTGTTTCCTTTGCCATGAAGAAATTTTTAGTTTGATGCAGTCCCACTTGTCTATTTGTGCTTTTGTTGCCTGTGCTTTTGGTGTCATATTCAAAAAATCATTGCCAAGATCAATGTTGATGAGCTTTTCCCCCATGTTTTCTTCTGGGATTTGGTAGGTTCAGGTCTTAAGTATAAGTCTTTAATCCAGTGAGTTGTTTTTGTATATAGTGTGAGAAAGGATTCCAATTTCATTCTTTTGCATGGGGAGATCCAGTTTTCCCAATATCATTTATAGAAGAGACTATCCTTTTCCTATTGCATGTTCTTGGTGCCCTTGTTGAAGATCAGTTGACCTTAAATGCATGAATTTATTTCTGGGCTCTCTATTCTGTTCCATTGGTATATATGTCTGTTTTTATGCCAGTACCAAACTGTCTTGATTACTATAACTTTGTAATATATTTTGAAATCAGAAAATATGATGCCTCCATCTTTGTTCTTCTTGCTTAAGATTGCTTTGGCTATTTGGGGTCTTTTGTGTTTCCATATGAATTTTAGGACTATTTTTCCTATTTCTGTAAAGAATATCATTGGAATTTTGAAAGAGAGTCCAGTGAATCTGTAGATCACTTTGAGTAGTGTGGACATTTCAACAATATTAATTCTTCCAATCCATGGGCACAAGATGTCTTTCAATTTGCTTGTGTCTTCTTTAATATCTTTCATCAAAGTTTTATAATTTTCAGTGCACACGTCTTTCACCTCTTTGGTTAAATTTATTCCTAAATATTTTATTCCTATTCTAAATGGAATTTTTTTCTTAATTTCCTTTTTGAATAATTCATTGTTAGTGCTTAGAAACACCATTGATTTTTGCATGTTGATTTTATATCCTGAAACTTTACCGAATTTATTAGTTCTAACAGATTTTTGTTGAGTCTTTAGGGTTTTCTACATATATGATCATGTCTTCTAAAAACAGGGATAATTTTGCTTTTTCCTTTCCGATTTGAATGGCTTTTATTTCTTTTTCTTGCCTAATTGCTCTGGCAAGAACTTCTTTTTCCTTGTTGAATAGAAGTGGTGAGCATGGGAATCCTTGTCTTGTACTGGATCATAGGGGGAAAACTCTCAGTGTTTCCCCATTGAGTACCATGTTAGCTGTGGGCTTTTCATATATGACCTTTACTGGTTGAGATAAGTTCGCTCTATGCCTATTTTGTTCTGTGCAGGAGAGTGTTCTCATGTGTGTGTGCATGTGTGGGTGTGCATCGTGGCTGTGTGTGTGCGTGTGTGTGTGTGAATGTTCATACAGTGCATGCATGTGAGGGTGTGTGAGTGTACAGGTGTATCTGTGTTGAAACGGTGGAGGTGTCAATGGGTCTTGCATTCCCCACAACCTAACACTGCAGTGCTCAGCCCGCAGTAGATATTTAACTTGTGTAACAGAAGAGTGAGCTATGCTCCAGGTTGTCCACTAGATTTTCATCTTAGAAATGGCCAGGAATTGTGCCTTCTATGTTTTAAGTTCTCTTTTCTCAAAATTACTATCACTGATACCAGGTAAGTGCATAATTTATTCTATGGTCTCGACTCGGTAGTTTTTTTGTACAAAATCAAGGATGTCCCTGCTGGCCTCTGGACCTCAGCCTGCATGTGACATGAGAGACTAATGCACAAAATGTAATAGTTCCAGTATCAAGTCATCAAACATAAGGTGGCTCAGAATTGCAGAATCATTTACTTCCTCAAGAACCTGCCGTTTGTGTAGGCTCCACAGGCTCAGCTCCATTGGAGACTGAGAGTCCACATTCTAGATTATACTCCTCATGCTGGGTGCTCAGTGGGCCTGTGGGGTCCCCTGGGGGCCTCTTCTTGGCTGCTTGGGTGTCCTCAGGACTGGATCTCAAGAGCTGCTAGTTCTTGGAACTGCACCTGGAAGGTGGTACAGTGTCCAGTGTCCTCTGGGTCATCCCAAGGTCCCCCAGCCTAGATGGGGGTGGGGGCTGCAGACCCAAACCTCATGGGAGGAAGGCCTCAGGGTTAAAGCCGCCACCATCAGCACTGCAGATGCTTTCCACGTGTCCAGTAGGAAAAGCAATTCAAATACAAGCTGCTGCTTTTGACTGCTCATTTCCATTTGGCCTCAGAACCTTCAAAGCAGCTTCTTCTAAACAGAAATGGCAGTGACAGCACCAATAAGCTAACCACACACCCAGCCATCACTGTAGATGCTCCAGGGGATACACCAGGTCCTGGCCCACAGGGAGCTTGTCATCAGGTGGGGACAGCACGTCCACGAGGATAGGAAATGCAGGGCTCAGACGGCATCCAGCCATCTCCCTGGACACAGGTTAGTTCCCTCAGTCTGGACCTCACCAGGCTTCCCTGTGGACACTTCCCGGGTGAAAACACAGAGCATATCCCGTGGTGGATCCCAGGAGCGTCCCCTGGTGAGCACCGAGCTGCAGTGATGGCCACACCTGTGTCTCCAGGAGCCTCGAGACCAGATCACTTCTCTGCGGCTAACTATGTGTCAAGGCCCCCTTCACACTCAGCCCTGTGCCAGGCCCTGGGGAGCTGGGCAGTGTCCTGGAGGAGGCAGTGGCCTTCCCGGGGCCTCGTCAGTGTTGCAAAGGTGAGTTGTGACCTCATGGGCACAGGAGCAAACTGTAGAGTGCAGTTCTGAAGACCAGCATGTGGGGAGGGGGCTGGTTACTGCTGAGTCTGTGATGGTCATCACTGCCATGGGCCAGACCACAGTCGGTCCCCACCCTGCCCCCGGAAGGAGCCAAACCCCCCGGGGCAAGAGTTCCTGCCTAGCTCCACAGGACACGTGTCCCATAGCATACTGTCTGCCCCATCCTCCTGAGGCCTGGCGAGGGACCGTGCTCCATCTCTGAGCCGCCGGTGCCTGGAGGAGAGTGGATGCTCAGCGCGGCTTTGACTAGTGGATGCAGACGGTTAGCAGCGCCTTCTGAGCTGAGTTGTTCCTGCGGAGCGCCGAGGACTCACTCAGGCCTGTTTGCCCAGAGAGCTGTTCCCAGCTTTCTGCAGTTTCCTCCTCATGTCGATGGTCCTGAGGGGTCCTGATCCTTCATCCTCCACCTTTGCTCCGTGTGCATCTTTCTACCTTAATTACACTGGCTGCAGGCACTTCATAGGCTGTTTTTTATCTGGGTCTAGACAGAGGAGGGATGATTTTCATCCTCTGCAGCATTTCCGCTGATGCTGGGAGGTTCTGAGTGACGCAGGGCTCTCCGAGGAGAAGAGGTGGAAGACGGCGGGGGCAGGCGGGGCTCCTCCATCACAGCGGTGCCCCGTCCAGGCGGCTGCACTGGCTGCCCTCAGACAGCGAGCCCCTGAAAACAGGAGGAAACGCAGCAGACAGATGGAGTGTCTGCTTGCATGTAATAATGACGAGGTAATTTTCCTCTTGATGCTCATCACTCCCAGAAAAAACCACACAGCCCATGATTTTTTTCAATATTTAGTGTTACATTAGCCTGTTTTGTAACATCAAAGAGAAACGTGACAATGTGTGCTTTTTAGGCGATTTTTAGGGAGTTTTGTTGAGAGACTGTCACTTGATTCTCTCACTTCACCAGCAGATTCCAAAGGTTCATGTTAATAGAATTAATATTACATATTAATATGATCAATTGCAAGTCACACAGACATTTTCCTAGAACATAGTTACTGAAATTACCATTGAGCATCATAACATTTTTACTTTATTGCAGTGAATCGACTTATTCCAAAATACAGTAAACAGTTTATTGCGTTTACACATCAACAAAATATGTGGGACATGTTGCCTTAGAATCTCGTATGAGGTTGAATTGCTAGTAAAACTTATGATAAAAATATTTACATGTTGACAAACAGATCCTCAAATGGAGCATGTCCCTCTTTGGACAGAAGCACCTGTTCACATGGTAGAGGGACACTTGGAAATGAGTGCAGTGACTTGGATTTGGATAGAGGCAGAAGTTGTGAAAAACATACCTTTTAAAAAAAATACACTTTGAGTTCCAAGGATTAAATTGTAAACTTCTGCAAGTACAGAAGAAATAATCCTGATTCTAGTCTCTTTCCATATTTGCATGTTTGTGCTCTGAGGGCTTCCTTGCAGATTTTCCCCTCTATGCAGATATTTATTGCTGTAGAAAGGAGGAAGAGCGTATTGACAAGAAAGAACATTGTGAATTCTGGTATCACTGAGGTGCTAAGGTAAAATGCCCCTGAACGAATTAATGAAATAAATAATCCGTGCACCCTCACTCATGGAGCCCCAGCACGTTTGGGAGGAGTCCCCGTGTCTGCAGTTCAACGCATGGGTTCGAGCCACGCGCCTTCATTCTGGGCAGAAGGGAAATGGAGATGCTGATGAAGGACTCTCTCGTTCTGTTGCGTTTGTGTTCCACTTAAACACGCAGTGCCAATGAGAGGCTGGATTCCTTCAGTCCTCCTAATGCCATGGAATCCGTGGAATAATTTGAGCTCACAGGTAATTTTGGTCAGAGAAGACTGTCTTAAACCTGTCTTACCATGTCTTCTTTTTCTTCATTACAAGTGTTGGTGTGCTTGATTTTGCCCTGCTCTCCCAATGCCGTTAACAGGTACACGAGGCCCAGGTGATGGTGTCACCTATCCAGATTACCGTGGCTGGTCTCCTGTCTTGGGTTCTTTGAATCTGTCAGTCATTGACGTGCGGCCTATTCCTTGGGCTGTGGAGGAATTGCTGCCTGGGATCAACTCTGCTTTAACACTGATGGGGTGTGTGACCCGGAAGGAGCTGCTCACGTCTCCGGGCCTGTGTAAAAAGGGGTTGATTGCAGAGCTGTCCTCGTAGAATTGCTGGAAGGTCTATGAAGCACTTGGAGGACACCCAGAGTCCTATGAACACTCAGTGACTGTTTGCAGATTCCATGCACCTTCAGAAACCAGACGTTCTCAGAAGTTTCCTGCGGTAAGAGAACCAGATCCTGTGGTATGTTTGATTTCTAGGATCACAGGAAAGAAAGGAAATACCCCAGGAGCAAAAAATAAAACACAACTTACACACATACACACCACACACACTCACACACACATACACACCACACACACAGCTAGATTCAGTCCAACCAAGCCCGCTTCCTCATCTTTCTGCTTCCTCAAGGGGCACACAGCTCTGATATCAGCTCTCCTTGTCTCTCATGACGGGAAGTAACAATGAGGCCACATGCTATCTGACAACCTGAGCCTGGACACAGAAATTTGTAGAGAAGTTTCCCTCTGTTTATGGTCTATGGCTTGTTATTTATGGAACAAACGCACCAGAAACTTCGCTTTTACACTCTGCCTCCAGGTTTGCATGGCTTCCTGCCAGTTTTAAAGGCATTATATTACCTCTCAAGGTAAAAACAATATTTATTAAAATATCAAATTCTCTTTAAGGTGGCAAAATTGCTATCACACATATTTCAATGGACAATGAAGTGTCATAATGATATATATCAGGAATGATGAAGGGACCTAGTGTTTTATGCCATTAAGTGCTGTTACGTCATCTCATAAAATAAATGGGTAGCACTCTAAGTAACCTTCAAAACGGTCTAGTTCTAAATAAATACCTACACTTAGTAGTGGGTGGCAATCTGTTATAAAATGTAATTGTCAGGTGACATCAATGTATCTGTCATATATTTGTGACAGTATGTGATTTTTCAGCAATACCTTTTCAACCAAGAAGCAGTATCTGTAAAAAGGACATGTAATCAGAAATTCTTAAAGAGAGTAAATATTCTTTGGAAAGACTGAAATGTGAGAAAATTACGCCCTAAAATAATTTAAGGAACAAAAGTTTTGCAGGAGGTGGGACGACTCTTTCATAGTTTCAGATCACAGCTTAAGCTCGCCACAGAAGGACCAGAGGCAAGAGTCGGGAGAGCACAGACCCTGCTCTCTGCCTTTCCAGCCCTTGTACCGCTTCTCTTCCTTGAAGGAGCCTACACTTGCTGTGGCGTCCTCCCCACTCCCATGCACCCCTCAGGCTCCCATGTTGAAGGTCCCTACCACTTGCTTATGGAGGTCAAGTATGACCTCTGATGGCCAAATACTGGTCATGTCAGTGAGTCTCCTTCTGCTAATTCCTTGTTTTTTTTTGTTGAGAAAGATTGACCCTAAGCTAACATCTGTTGCCAATCCTCCTCTTTTTGCTGAGGAGGATTGGCCTTGAGCTAATATCTGTGCCAGTTTTCCTATATTTTGCGTGTGAGATGCTGTCACAGCATAGCTTGATGAGCGGTGTGTAGGTCCGTGCCTGGGATCCAAACCTGCAAACTCTGGGGCTACCAAAGCAGAGCACATGAACTTAACCACTAGGCCACTGGGCTGGCCCCTAATTCCTTGTTTTTAAAGCCTGTCGTGTAAGTTTTCAATGGACACCTATTTCTTAACCTTTATCTAGATATTCTGGTTCCCCAAGAATAGATCTCTTACCATCCTCTCTACTGAAGCCACATTTCTCCCTGAGGGAAATGATGTATCCGTGCCTTCAACTGCCCTGAACACAATGATGAAACATGCGCTAACGTATCCCTTTATCAGAAATTATTTTCCCAGCTAAGGAACCACATTTTATGCTTATTGGGAATTGCCAACTTAATGGCTTACAGACTCCCAAATTTCAGTATGAGACATCATTCTATTTATTTAGATGTTAATTTTTCAATAATGTTTTGTAGTTTACAGTGTACAAGTTTTGTCTTTCTTTAGTTAAATTTATTTTATTTTTTGGTGAGATTTAAATGGAATTGCTTTCTTAATTTCATTTTTGGATTTTTTGTTGCTGGTGTATAGCACTTCAATTGATTTTGTATGTTCTTCACATGTCCTGCAGTGCTGCTGAAGTCATTTATTCACTATAACAGTATGTGTGTTCCTGAAGCTTTCCTGTACACAAGGCCATGTCAACTGTAAATAGAGATAGTTTTACTACTCCCCTCCAACGTGCATGACTTCTGTCTCCTTTTTTTTCCTGCCTCACTAAACCCTCCATTATATGTTGAGAGAAGTTGCAAGAGTGACATCCTTGCCTTGTTCCTGCTCTCAGGAGGAAAGCATTTGGTCTTTCAAATTTAAGTGTGATGTTAGCTATGGCCTTCATCAGGCTGAGGACATTCCCTTCTATATTTAGTTAGTTTAGTGTTTCATTCATGGGAGATGTTGGATTTTGCCAAATGCATTTTCTGCATCTGTTGAGATTCTCATGTTTTCCCGTCATGAAGTGTCCCTGAGGCCAGACCCAGCACTCACTGGAGGATGCCCTCTAATATCCCCTGGGGACCCCTGGGAGAGGGGCTGGCTTGTCATTGGGCTGTTACTGTTTGTTCTGTTTGCTGATGGGTCCCTGCCTTTGTGAGGATGGGTGGAGGATGCATGGGGCTGCTCAGAGTCAGGGTCACCTGTGAAGGTGACTACGTGGATGTGAAGGCATCACGTCACTGCCACTGCCCAATGTCGGGGTCCATTTGCTCTTTCACCAGCCAGCTGGACAGAACGCGGCACAGTGACATCAACAGGATCAAGGTGGTGTCAAGGAGGTCGATGTTGGCCTGAGGTGGTGCTACATGTCACTGACGACTCCCCTGGGACTTAGGGAAAACAATTCTGGGAGCTGTTGTGTTGTATTCAGACAGACCTGCTCTTGGCGTTGGAGATTCTCACACACAGTCTCACAGCGACCCAGCACGGTGGTGCACTCCACATGCCTGAACCATACACACACCACAAATAATTGAAGCATCACGTGTGGGAGCTCAGCCTGCACTGGACCAGCAGGATAAAAGGCCCCCAGGCCTTGGGAATTGGACTTGGTGTCCAATCAACCACACAGAGCTTTTCTAGGGGCATGACGCCATGATCTGCTCTCCTGGAATGCTGAGTTTTTGGTGATCTGCTGGAATGAAGATGAGGATATTTCAACTACATTCTCAAAGTGGTGGAGCAGACGCACCATGCTGGGGAGGCGTCTCCCACCTGGGGTCTTCCTGGCAGGGGACATCAGTCACTGTGGATTTGCAGGGCAGCTGGGGGAGCTGGGGTTCAGGTTGAGGGGGATGGGTGCGGGAGCACCATGCTGGCCTCAACCATGGCAGGACCCCACTGGTCAGTGTGGCCCTTCTCAGTGCCCTTCACAGCCACCCATTCACATAGAACACACACTCCCAGTACCTTCCCCATGGACCTGGGGCCGGCGTATGCTCTCCGTGGCACTTGGTCAGAGTGGGGCAGATGGAGGCTCACACTGGCCATCCTCACGGGGACAGATGCTCACGTGGACATGTGTGAGGTGCTTCCCTATCACTGCATGTGATAGAGAAGGTGAAATCCTCCTCCTTGGCCCCAGATGGTTCCTCCCAAGACCAGTGGAGGCCCAAGGAGAGCTGTTGGCTGTACTGTCCATGTCTCATCCGGGGCCTGTCATGCGAGCTGGATGAGAGCATTGTGTGGTGCCGTTGACTGACGGTGAACTCTGCAGGCAGCTCCAGTGGTAGGGGTTGTACGTGAGTCCACACATGTTTGCATGTTCAAGAGGCACAGAAAAGGGTGTGCCCAATACTGCCATGAAGCTAGTCCAGTGGTGGGGATGAGTGTTGATACAGGAAGTGCTGGCTGGGGCCTGGTGTGCCTCTCAGGCAGGGGCCTAGGAGGGAGCAGCTCAGCCTCCATGTGCTGGGCCTGAGTGTCCCCAGGATGTCCACTCCCCATGCCCGAATCCTGGGCAGGATTCCCAACTCCACCCTGGTGAAGCTTAGGGTGGATAGTCAGGGAGGAGCTGAGAGGGCTATCCGCCTGCCCCTGCCCACTCAGGGCTGTGCAGGGATGCTCCCGCTTCTAGGAGAACAATTCCCCAAATTAGGGAGGTTTTGAATGCCTGTGTCTGAGGAGCACTCTCGTTCAGCCAATCTGCATTTGTTTCTAGCTATTCATTCTGGATTCTCCAAATCTGCATATTCATCAGCTCTTGCCTTGCAATTCACATCTCTAATTGCTACAGCATCACATGCAAATGCATTTTGGAAAGTGCAGCAAGGACAAAAAATGTGAGTAGCTTTTAACCTGAAGGGCCACATCCCAAAGTGTGCTGTCACAGAGACCCTCATGTTTTAAAGTCCCACAGAGATGGCTTTAAATCACTGGGTTCAGAAACTACTTCAGAGCAGTGTTTCCCTCAAAATCAGACCTTCTTCTACTGGGAAATGTTTACTAGAATGTGCCTGTGCCTTTTAGAAAGAGTTTTCCTTCCTTGATGAACGTTGGTCTTTAAAACTAATGACAAGTAAAGAAATTTGCATAAAATTACTCTCTCCATCAGGACGCAAGTTACATATTTTGATGATACATATGAGGAAGGAAAGCAAAGGAATTTGCTGGAATTTGATTAGAGTAGGCAGCTGGAGTTGAGAAGGAGATGCCAACTGCAGGGGAGGAAGACATATCCTCTGCCCATCTGGGTCCTTCTGGCTGGGCTATGAATTAAATTGACATGAGATGGAATAACAGGAGAAAATCAAATAAAGCTTTATAACATGTATACATGGGAGAGACCCAGGAAACTGGGTAACTCAACAAAATGGCAGAGGCTCTCATCTTAAATACCAACTTCAGCTCAAGACAAAGGAGGGTGCTGGGGGTAGTGGTTTGAGACTTCAAAGGGGAGAAAGGCAATTCACAGGGAGATGAAAAGCAGATGTTTGGTAAATAGAACTTTGATAAGAATGGGCTTAGCAAGGAGAGTCCCTGACCTTTACAGTCTATCGATACCCAGACTTATCTATGATGATGGCCCGTCCGGGGGACAGGCCTTCTATCTTAAATTCTTTTAGGCAGTTAGTGGTTGGGTGGTCAAAGTTTCTTTCAGAGTCTTTAGTTCTGAAAAATAATCAAGGCAAAGAGACATATTTTGAGGCAGCCAATTCTTATTCCCCACACAACACAACCACCAGCATGGAATGGGGAAGGAGATCAGGGATGGTCACTGAAGAGTGAGGGGCAGGTGGGGGCCTCAGACGGCAGATTGGGAGGGGCATGGCTTCATTTTAGGGGAGGTTGAAGGGAATCTGATTAAATGACCTCCTGGGAAGCTCCACAAGAGGAGAAAACCAATTATGTGATGACACATTGCTTTCCTCCAAAGCCGTAAATGCCCTCTCGAGTGTCAGAAAAGTGCATCTAACTTAGCAAATGAAATTGTGATGTAGTGGGTGTACTTCTAAGTGTCCGTGTGTGAAGCGGGAGCAACTCGACCCTTTACTGTGCTCCCCTCCCCCCCCGGGAGGTGCACTTGGGTCACAGCTATAGCCACTGAGTGCCCCTCTCTGCCATCTTTTTTTTACATTCTTCCTTATTTGGCCCTTTTGTCCTTTTTCTCCTGCTCTGTTTGATTGTCTGAACTTGCACCAAGGCCGGGTTTCCAACACCGCCCTCACCTCCCATTGTGCTCTGTGTTCCAGGTACACCTCTGAGAATGCAGTTCTCCCACAAAAATTAGCATTTACTTTTAATGGGGCATGTTGTTACTGCTTCTTTATTTCTCAGCACTAGAAATTTATATCAAACTGTATAGTTGAAAGACTGTCAATTGTGCCCAGAATTTCAGAATCAGAGCTGTGAAACGTGGAGTGTCATTGGAAGGGATGCCCCATCTTCCACCAGCAGCTGAGCCGTCTGACCCTAGTCGGGGTCTGAAATGGGACTGCAGGTTTCTGCAGCAGGGGCCCAGTGTCCAGGGTGGGAGCGGTTGCAGTGATGGCTGGGTGGGGCCCTGACCCTGGATGCAGGTTGGGGTGCCTCAGGGGTCTGGCTCCCTGATGGGATGTTCCTTGACCCCCAAGTCCCTCCTGGAGGCTCCGCCTAGGACCACCTCCTGTTCTTCAGGTTGTGAGCCCTTAGTCCCCTGTGGTAAACCTTCTCAGCTTAAATACTGGAGCAGTCGATGTGTCCCTGACCCTGCCTGCCAGGACCCACGCCCCTCACACGGCAGACCCAGATCCCCATCTCTGTCCCTGAGAGCTGCTCTGGTTTGTTTATAGATCTGTCTCTCTCCCTCTCTCATCGCACCCCGTAGAAAACCATTCTGAGGGGATTAAGGTGGATCTTTTCTCTGTATGTCTTCTTTAATAAATGCACCTTTCCTATTTATTCTAATAGCATTGTCTTTTAGATGCCATCTGATTGTTATTTTCCATCTTGAGCATTTGTAACTTCCCTGGGTGTCTCTTCTCTGGTCCTGAGTGTCTCATGGCTGCTCGCATGGTAGACCCTCTGCTCTTCCCCTCATCACCAACAGTGCTGGACAGCCCCCCTGCGGAGTGACAGTCCAACAGCACCCCACTAGACAGCCCTGGTTCTCCTGTGGAGACCAGCTGAGAGTCAAAGAAAAAATCCCCCTAGAGGAGTTAAACATCAAGGAAGACTTTATTAAAGACCATTGAGATAGGGGAGACAGAACTGCCTGCTGGGAGAGCATTTAAGGGGTGAGATGAGCAGGTAGGGAGTCCTGGGGGACGTGGGCGGGGTCATGTGATTAGGCGTCTGCCTTTGCCCATTGGCGCTTGTGGAAGTGAGGTCCACCCTCACGCACAGAGGGGAGAGAGGGCCCTGTGTTGATGATTAGAGTTCAGAGGGCTGACTCGCAGGTCCTTGAGAAAGACGGTCCTGGTGGTACAACTGGCAAGAGGCTGGGAGAATATTTACTCCTTGGAGTGGCATAACGAGAATCTGCAGCTGTGAGATTCCTCAAGTCAGTGCTGTCAGGAGGAGGGGGTCAGGAGAAGTCTGTATAAGGTCAATCACATGGGTCCTGCTGCTGATGCTGCGTGACTTCCTCCTCCAGCAATGCTTTGTCCCAGAGCCCGAGGGACAGATGCCGGTGCCGGGCAGCTGGTGTGGGGCTGAGACCTGTTGGGAGGCGTGGGCCCCCAATCAGCTGTTGAGAGGCCCATGCAGCAGCCGTGGGATCTCCCTGAGATGTGTAATGTCCTGCGTCCCAGTCCCCTCACCTGTGAAGCCCTGGTGATAAGAGCCATGTGTCATTAGGTCCTAGGGTCTGAAGAGGTGGCCCACGGGCATCTCCATAACAGCGGCCACCTGCAGGGGCACCTGCTTTTTCAGGGTCGCCCTCCAGCCCACCTGGGAGCTGTGGGTGAATCAGCTCTCCCCACCCCGCAGCCTCCCCCAGGACCCCTGGAGCCCGGGCCAGACCTGTGGCTGTTTCCCCCACTGGCACCCACCTCCGAGACCCACGCAGGCATGCTCACACCTCCTCCGAAATCCATGCATTCACGAGGGCTCTGGGAAGCACCTCTACGTGCTCCGCACGGCGGCTCCTCCTGGATCAGCTACAGGTGTCTATGCACCTTGGGATTCAGTCCAGGGTGGCAGGTAGACATCCTTGCCCCGGTGCCTTGGTCTTCAAGTGAACTGACTTCAATCTTCTGAAGTTAGAAGTGTGAGTGGTCAGTTCCATCTGGAGCAGTCACGGGTTTGAAATGGGGAGTGGGCAGCTGCAGGGAGAGGGAGGGAGGCTGCGGTGAGGGCAGAAGGTTAACACTGAGAGGAAGAGGGAACTCAGTTACGAAAAAATACAAATTGTCTAAGCGTGACCCCAGTCTTCAGGAATAACACTGAGTCCAAGGGTGTTTATTAAATGTCACTGTGTGACGGATGTGAGGCTGAGGAGTCGGGTCTGCAAAGAGAAGAACCCGCTCCCACCTTCCAGGAGAAAGTCAGATCCACAAGGAGCAAACCATGAAGAAAACATACACAGACATGCACGCACACACACATATGCACGTGTGTACACAGAAACAACACACATATGCACACAGAGACAACATGTACACGCAGACACACATGCATGTGCACACATGCACCAACATGTATACACACTGGCGCACACACATCCCTGAAGGCCTGTGCAGCAGGGATTCTAGAAATGTTCATTTCTAATTCCTGCAAAGAGCTCAAAATTTTGTGAACCTGAGAACTCAGCTTCTGTGATCAAATTTACCAAAATAAAAAATTAACCCTGTCCAAGTGTAACAGCACCAGGATTTTAAGTGTTAACATCATTATTTGAACTATTAAAGTTTTATAATTACTTTGCATTTTGAACAATGCTTGAATAAAATATCTCAAGTAAAAAAAAAACTCTTCTAAAAGAAAAAACAATCTAAACTCAAGAAGAATTTTTACAAAATGTAACCTACTGTTTCTCCCTCAAACAAATCTTTTCTTAATCTTGCCTGCCATGCATTAATTTTTTGTATAGTTCAAAATCGTTGGGGAAAGTAGTCAGCCCAAGACCACAATATGTGTGTTCTGTGAGTGTCTAACTTGAAGTTGGGAGCGGCGTGAAACAGCTGAAGCTCGTTCTTAACAGATGCCTCCTGTGGATGACACCTATGAAGAAAAAGATAAATGCAGAACAGAAATTCCCTTAAATGAAGGAGATTTCTTTTTCGTTCATAAAAAAGTGATTTTTGATTCTGATGTCTTGATTGTGATAGTTGACAGTGGCTGAAATTAGAGGCAGCTTGCAGAGGAAAGGATGTGACAGGTGTAAGTCATTTAGTAATGGATTTTCTTTAAAGGCAGAAGCTGA